CGTAAAGGTTTGTTTTGCCGTATACTGTTTTGCTTTTAAGTTCTGCAGCTATTCCCCTATTTTATTTGGAAGGTGTATTTAGCAAACATATGTTTTCAGCAATTCATAGTCAGGCCAGTTTATTTGCAGGGATAATGAAAACCATACAGTTGGACAGGGTTAATAAAGGTCCTTTGGTTAGAACTCATCGTTTTCACACCGTCCGCATGGGGTGATCAGCGTGTAGAGGTCTTTGCGCTTGGAGATGGGAAGAAATTCGGATAGGTTGTGAGCGTTGGTCGTGGGTCAGGTACGTTGAGTGATAACTACTGTCACTTTCACGGAGTGGGGGCGATATGGGATCGCCACCTGGCGTCGGCTTCGGCCACGGAATTGAAATGGCTTGTATTAGCGTCTTCTGCCAGCACAGCACTGGATTCGCTAGCCGTATAGCCACTGCCTCGGCTGTTGCATAGGCCCTTGGAGAAGTTGGTTGGTGTCCTCAGACAACCTGAAGGGCTTACTTAGTATCGACTCGGTGATTCAAATCGACAAAGTGTGCGAGAATAGAACTCGAGATCGATCTAGTTTCGCCTTTACTTAACCAGGCCAGTATGTGTTCACGTTCGCTCTTTTGCAGGTGCCTCGTTGTTCGGCCAATATATCCTGCTCCACGGGAGCAGGTGAAAGAGTAGATGCACATGAATGTGCCCTTCAACAGAAGTCAGTCTTTACCTTCCAATGGTATGAGGGCAGAGTTCATGAAGGCCCTTGTTTCTCTGGAATAGGCGCCCCGTAGTAATTAATCGCCCATGCTGGATTGTCCCATTTGTCTGCATATTCAGACTAAAAACTGACCTTATTGATCACTTCTTATTCTTCGATGACAGAACTTTTTACAGGCCTCGCAAGGCCTCACTACTTTTAAGACTGTGAATCGGTGAAACACGTTTGCTGATTTGAAATGTCATCCGAATACTTGCGTTTTAGTTGTACTCACACGTGTAGGGAATATTTGGTCGAGCCACGCGTTTTAGATCAACTCACTGTTAACTTTCTCCTCATCAGTGTTCTTCATTTTATTTCCCTTGTCCTCCAATCTTCTCACAGGTCCTCTCGCCTGGTTCAACCCTGGAGGATGTCCGCGAGTTTCTCAGTGAGGCCTCCCATATGAAACAATTCAGTTGCAACCACATCGTTCGACTACTGGGAATTGTCTCTAAACAGGCAAGTTGATCGTTAGGCTTCTAACTGAGTTTTATGCACCCTCAAAGACCCTGTTTTTTTAAAAATCTTTAAGTCATAACATTTCGGATAATCCTTGTGGACGGGAGCCATGTTAGGAATGCTTTTTTCGCTCTTCCTGATTTGGAAGGTAGGTGTCTCCACCGCCTCCCAAATTATCACTATGCTTTCAGGATTTCAGCAGAATAAAGATCGAAGTTAAGTTGATGTCGTAATACTTCTCTGGTTTGTGGTCATCTTGAAAGTATGCGGATTGCCAAGGCCGTGCTCAACCCTGATTGTGAATTTAACTGCTGAATGGTCCTCGATGGCTTTCTCGTCATACCCAGGAGTGTGATTATATCCCAGGTAGCCTTCATTAAAGTCTGTCCCACTATTCACACTGGAACTCATCCTCAAGACTTACAACAAATACTGGTACCCATAGGCAGAATAGCATAACCGACAAAGACAAGGGAGACTGAAATACCTGTTCCTGGCTCATTCGTCATCATAAGCCGGCCGTACGCAACCCCAAGTGGTGCAGCACTCGAGACTCTAACCGGTGAAAAGTTGACTAAAAGTTAAACGCACTAGCCGTTGAGCCAGGGATTCGTTGTCCTTTCGCTTTCGATCGGGAATATTAACATTGGTAGATCAACGTTTACCGATCAGTTGCGGGACTCATTCGTTCCGTTGTGCCTTGGGGACCAAGCTCGAGCCTCACCGCAGGCTGCGCACCAGCTAGTGTATTATCGGCAGAACAAAATTGCGGACAAAGAAAAGGGAGTAACGTAACCGATCAGTGATCGCCAACTTACCAAAGTGGTAACAGTATCCGAAGAATGCCCCCAGTGACCGTATCTGGGAGCCAAATTTCTATGCCATTATCACGCCAATACCCAACACTGGGGGTATAAAATTGAAGTCATTGTTAGTCTTGAGTGTGAATTGGGTACGTCAGGCGAAATAAATTCCTGTTCCATCGATCATCTCCACTTCATCAGCCATTACCGCACTATGTACGAAAACCGCCGTTGAATGTGAAAGCCGGTAATTTACTAGGTGTGTCTTCTGTTGCGATGCTTGCTTTATTTATTATGTGTTTAGGTTAGAATGATTCAGATTTTTCTTCTTCGCGCGATCGCATCTCGCCCTCAACATTTACACCAGGTCTGCCAAGAGGCCCGCCCACATCCGTTCTAATGACATACTTTTGTTCTTACACAACCACCCTCATCCTTCTCTCAACCCAACATTTTCTATTCCCTTCCCATGCAGGTTCTCCTACGGCGTCAGCCCATCGTCATCATGGAGTTGATGGAACACGGGGACTTAGCCACTTATCTTCGCCAACGCATGGCTCAGGATGACTACTCCGAGGGCTGCATTGCTCCGGAACTGGCAATCAAGTGGGCAGCAGAGATCGCCGACGGCATGGCCTACCTCTCCTTCAAGGGTTTTGTCCACCGCGACCTGGCCGCGAGAAATTGTCTCGTCGGCTCTGCTTTAACCGTCAAAATTGGCGGTGAGTTCAAGGCCGTTGTTTGAACGGGAGCGCGGAAACAGAAGGATTGCTTGCAAATTTTATTGCGCGTCTTAGGAACTATTTGTTTGCGGCAGTTTTGTTTCTGTTTTCTCTTCATTCTCCTCTCCTCCATAGCAATGTTGCGAGTCCACTGATGAGTCAGCCGCCCCCAACAGAATCAGCGTCCGAACTTTTCCGTAGTTGAAAGTTTCTGCAGTTTTTTTCTGCCCTTTTTTACCTTCCAGAGAAGGCGTGTTTTTATAGCTCAAGTAAAAGTCGGAACAGAATCCGCTCTATTCCGTCCTCCGTTTCGAAAAGTCCAGGCAATACGAGTGGCATTCGCAGTCCTCAAGCTTTCAAGTCATCTCTTGTAATACAGTAGTCCCCTCCCCTGTATCTCTTTTCGCCTTACGCGGCTTCACTCTCTCGCGGATTTTATACGCAAGCATATGTTAATATGTAAGACAATTTGTTTTGCTAATTTGCGGAGTTCTGCAAACAATGGACCTTTTTATTTCTGGAAAATGCTTCCTCAGTTGGTTTGCCCGCTTGTATTCATACACGGAGGGCCATTGGTGTGTAGCTGCATTGCTTATTCAATAAAACATTTCGATGCTATACAATGCATGTATTTGTGCGTAGTAATTAAACAGTGTGTTCGCACAAAATTTAAATGAATCTTGTCTAATTTCTAATATAATATGGGGAGTTTATGTTGCTATCCTTATGGGTAATGTTTAAAAGAATGTGGGAAGACTTAGAAGGGCTTAAAAGATGACAATAATTGGGGATTTTTACTTTTTCTGGGAGAATTCTGTAACTCAACCACCCTGATCGAAGAAGGGTCATTGTATAGTAATTTCTACTGTTTAATCTTCACACCGACTCCTCTCCCAGTTTTATAAACTTTCAAAATCCGTACAGTTCGGACCTTAGTTGTACACCAGACTTTCACTTTGAAGCGGCGTCGCATTATCGCGCGTTGCATCACGTTTCTTCCTCTCTTGCAGACTTTGGTCTCACTCGCGACATCTCTGACAACCATTACTATCGTAAGCAAGGTCGTGCGCGTCTTCCTGTGCGGTGGATGGCACCGGAAGCCCTGCTTGAGGCCTACTTCACTTCCAAGTCGGATGTGTGGTAAGTCTCTCCCTCCCTGCCCACTCAATTTCAAAGTCGGTTTCTGTCATTCATCCCTGAAAAATGGCTACAACCACCCCAGATAAAACACAGTGATGATCCGTGCATTTATTTGAATCATAGGGAGGCAGACTTTAAAAGCAGCCATCTCTCTTGCCGTGTGGCATGCCTACCAGTTTCCAAATGGCAAGACATTTGTCAAGAACGCTTGAGCGTCCTAACTGAGAAGATTGAGACTATGCCTTCAACAACTTCTCACTCTAACCCCACCCTAACTAGTTTTCATGATTTCCCGGCCTCACACTCTTTCCAGAGGATACCGAGTTCTCATCGGTTGATAGCCTTAGAAGCCATGGCTGTTGGTCTGGCCGGCGCGAGGCCAACAGAGGAAGAGGCCGTGAAAACGTGAGACTTCAACATCGACTGGCCGCGCTGTCGACGCCCCTCTCTTTCACGCCTATTTCTTTTGATACAGTAGTCGCCGGTTATTAAGCCCATGGTTAATAGGCCCAGCCGCCTAT